TCTCTCTCTCTCTCTCTCTCTCTCTCTCTCTCTCTCTATCTCTCTCTTTTTCTTTCTCTCTGTCCCCCTAATTTCATCTAATCACATTCGAGTTTTAATTGCGTTTTGTTTTCGTCTTCCGCTTTAGATAATGATACAACCAAAATCAAAAATAAAATTAAACAGTTTGCATGGTATCCTGTTGCAAGTAAGCGCATAGACGACTGACTACACATTCTCTGCTCATTTTAACACATAACACTTATGGTTTATTTAGATCCTTTACCTAATAAAAAACCACAAATCTCTACTAAGTTCAGCACTTATCGGAGATGTTACTTGTTCTTTGGTGACATTGCACGAGCAGACACAAATCGATCATGCAGTAATTATGAAAGTCATATTGGATATATTTATAGAAATATTAAGCGGGTAAATGTGCTCTTTATAAATGAATTGCTTATTCATTCTCTGCAACTATAATCTATATATTTTCGGATCATCTCTCTTCTGTTTAGGTTGACTGCTTTGAAATTCGATCATATCATCGTAAAAGATTTGCTGTACTTTTCTGCCTTACCACAATTAACTGATTCCAAGTTAACATATATCTATCCGGTACTGCACAAATCTAACTTCATTTACAATCTACATGTCATGCGCTTAACTCTGCCGTACGGTGCACTGTCCGACTATACGTTAAGTCCCCCAATTACGATAATGCCTATCGAGCAAGCAGAAACTTGCCTTAATGTAATATTATTACTGTTAAAACGCGCTCAATTCCCATCTTCAACCTTTCCGTACCTATCTTTCTCTGAAAATTTTAGTATCGGTGAATTTTTTAATGAATTCGAAATAATGGATTTCGAATTGCAATTTGTAAATATTTTGGCCGAGAAAGTTTTAAATGAACTGGCCACTGAATTAAGACAGAGCAAATCTTTGCATGAAACTCTTAAAGAGGTAGTTAAGAGACAGTTTTATTACCCTCAGGCGGCAATGAAATCGTATGCAATACTTAGTTTATTAGATAATTTTGATTACGGTTTGACGCAGCTAATTAAGGAGTCAAGAAAACAACCCGGTGACATTAAATTTCCAATAATGCTTTGCGTAGAGCGAATAATACAAATGCACGGTATCGAATACAAATACGCTCAGCTATGCTTAGAACATTTAACGGAAATTGCTCAACCGTGGCAACCGGATTGTTTAAGGTAAATCCAAATGATTATTAATATTAACGCAGTCTCGAATAATAATACTATTTATTTCCATTATGGATTTATTACAGATTTAAAGCTGCTAATATATTAGCTTGTATTGCCATTCATTATCCTAAGGCTTTAGAAAAGAAACGCTTAAGTTTTATACGAGCTTTTATCAGCCTTCTACTAAATCTATTAATGGACGATGACCCTGCGATACGCCATTATTCGGCTAAGATAGTTTTACATAATCTACCTGATGACATTGAATTGGGTTTGTCTGAATGTGAATATAACCATTTATTTGCTTATGATATTAAGATTCCAATTTGTATAGAAAGCGTAGTGTCAACCATGGCGCAGCGATTATTTCTACAAAACTCTGCTGATATATTATTGGCTTTTAGAATGGACGACAATTATATATTAGATATATTCAAAATTATTGTTACAAATTTCTCTACACAGTCCTCTAAAAAAGATGACGGAAGCCATTCTTCTGGAGAGAACAGCAATTCAAGTGATGCTGAAGTCTTCGAGAAAAATGAGGCAAATGTTTTTGCGGAACCTTCCAAAGTTATTTTTGATGCAGCTGTGGTTTTCAAAAATACTTTCAAATCCCGCCTTAAAATAACGCGCTTCATTGACAATTTCATGCAGGACGTCTACGTCCAGGGATCAGCATCATAAGCCGAACAATTTGCTTCTTTTATACATAACGCCGGATGTTAAAGGTATATTAATTTGGCCGTTTCGCTTTTAACGTCCAAATATACGCATCAGTTGACCCATAATGCGCTTATATCGCCTTTTTGGCAAACTCGAGACTTTTAGCCAGTTTAGATATCTGTCCGTCTGCTAAAGTTAAAATTACTTCAAAATAAAGAAAATTTGAATTGATTACTCATTACTCATTAGTTTACGACTTAAATTCACGGCTTATATGAAAGTTATAATAAAATATAATTTCGACCGCTCACCGACTTAATCCTATCTATAATCTAATTAAAATAATATCTATTCGCTTTATAGCAAATTTTCTTATGCATTATTATTGGGAATAGCTTTAAATTATATATATTTTTAGTTCACCATATAAGAAATATTTAAATGTTTACCTTGTAAATAAGTGTGCATTTTGTTTTCTTTTCTTTTTTTTTTTTTTTTTAATTATACGCACATGCATTTATAATAATTTTTACATCCGAAAATGCCCCATTTATGTAAAATGCGTATAATATATATATATATATATATATGTATATGTATATATATGTCTATGTACGAAATAATTTACTGACTTTTCGCCTGAAATACCAATCAAAAATATTGAAATGTAAATTTTATTTCTTTAAATCTAAATTGCTTACACATTTGATTTGATATGATCCGCTAGAAAGGATACCTTAGCGTTTGTGTAGCATTTGTTTGTGTAACCCATAAAGGTGTGCAACGGAGGTAACAGAAATTTATACTTGCCGAGAAAGCATCCACCCTTTTTTCGGGCTGGAACGTGATCTACGTAGCACCGTAACTTGATTATTGCGACTATAAGGTGAAAGTGAAAGTCAGATTTATGAGACTCGCTTTGCGGGGAACGCATTAAGGGTAACGGGTTTTGTTTCCTTCGAATTTCTATTAACTTCATAATTTAATGGCATTTTTTCCATTATTTTTTTAACGGAATTCGTTTCCGTTTTGGACGAGCTAGCTTATCATTATTGCTTCTGATCAATCTATTCATTACTGATCTAATCTATTGATATAGTTTTTATCATTTTAATATATTAAAAAAAAAAAAAAAAAAAAAAAATTGGAAAAATATGATTCATACGTATAAGAACGCTCTACCACAATTTAATGTATTTACGCATACCATATGGTAAGGTTGGGTTTACTTAATAAACCTCCCTCCCCATTCATTTCCCAAATATTCCTGCGATTCTTTGCTAATTTGCCTTCTCCACCATAGTGGATTATAACACATAACTCGATAAGTTCGCAAGATGACACATAGATGCCGCCGGTATTAACGAATCCATACAAAATGTTACTCTTTAAACGGAATATATCAAAATTTTACGAGCAAAGAAAAAATGTCCTCGCGTTGACAAGTGCGAAAGTTACCAGGACCTGGCCAGGATCGGCCTGGTTTGATATCGTGCGATTTTTTGTCTGTTACACGAAGTGAAGAGCTCGCTCTGGCAACACCGGCAAGATCCGAATTGTAGGAAGCATTCAAGGTCATCCCGCAATTGGAAACAGCGTTGACATAATTGCATAGTGTTCGATGGGAGTGTTTGGAGGTTTTAAGAGCATAAATAATGATTTTTGATTTTACAAACAAATTCACCTGATTTTCGGAAAACAGCGTTCAGTGAGTGTGATGCCAAAGTTGGCCTTTTTGGTTCCGTTTGTCTTCTTGGCCTTTTTTGTCGAGAATTTTGCTTTTTAAGCAAAGCGTATAAAAGCGGAAACATGGAAAATGAGTAGCGTGCACAGTCGGAAATAGATGTACTGATGATGAAGATTCCAAAAACGTTCACGACTTCGCGTCTTTAAGAATATAAGTATCTCTATCTTACACTCTCTCCTAGCTGTTGTTGAAAATAAAACGCTTTGCTTGCATTTTATTTCAGTAATTTAATCCTTTTTTATTTTTTTAATACTTTTTGACAAGAAATGATCATTTATTTAAAATTTTTTCTTCTCTTCTGGGTTTATTTTGTTTTGCTATTTCGGACGTTTATAGGCAAACGGTATATTATCGAACGCGTCTGAATAAGCTTGTTCTTCTGTTACCGCTCATTGCAATATCTTGATGTATTATTTCTTGTTTATTTACTTTTGTATATTTTTTTTTTTTTTTGTAGGTTTTTATTTTTTTTCTCTCTTCGGCTATTATTTCAGATAATTATCACTTAGGATTTACGTGACCCTGTAATTTTTTTGCGCACAAAATTTTAAATCGATAAAATTATTAGGAAAAAGATTTTAAAATTCTTTTTTCTTTTTTTTTCATCTGAATATGATGTTGTCGACGATGTAAAATAAAATATGTTTTTTTTTAAATTTTAATAAGTAATAGAAAGCTGGACATTGTACCTAAAGCAAGGGCGCCTTAAGGTCAATATAAGGGACATTCACGTTTCGCATATAACTGAATGAACGAATTATAAAAATTCTTAGTATAATAATTAAAGCCCTTAACGGACAGTACATGTAATCTTCTAATCTTAATCTCGATAATATAATAATAATAACTGAAAACTGAAAATCTGTAAAAATTCATGCATTTAAATGCAATCTTGCTCAATGACAAACAATGAACCGATGGCATGAAATAAAAGAGCGAACTGCTTGCTCTACTGTAATTGTAATGTAATTTATTTAAATATTTATTTCATTTAAAATGAAATTATTTCTTTAATTAATCAATTGATTAATTAATTCGGTCATTGATTCATTCATCTTTTATAATTAATAATTTAATTATTAAATTTTTAATTAAACAAATTGAATATATGTAAATGAAATAATTAATATATAAATCACAACGTAATTTAATAAATGTAATAATTAAAGTTTTATTTCCTTCCTCAAAACGAGAATTTTGCACAGAATGAAGGACAAATAAATGATTTATTTTATAAGAAGAAAAATATATATATATAAATATTTCGCTCGAGCAAAGCAATAGCTGGACAAGTATTATATGGACTCTGCTCCATCGAGACAAATGATAAAGAGGTCTTTTGCTGCTTTTAAACGCTATCGAGAATGCTGAACGCTTTGGTAGCCCAAATTCGACATTTGCTCCAAAAAACCTACAAAATCACACAAAATCGTTTTGGAGCAATGGGACGTGAACCTGCGTAAAATAGCTGATCTCTTAAGACGGCAGTGCCATTACTGCTTTATAAAAACATTTGTCTATGAGAAAGATCTGCTCGAAATGGGTAACACGCTATAATTGCTCGCTTTTTAACAACAACGCCATCAGAGAAAGTCTTTGAGAGAATGATACAGTGTGCTTTTGAACTATTATATAGGACGACTTTAACAAATAAACAAATAATTTTAAATGAAAAACAATAAACACATATGTTAGCTTATTTGGGAGTGGTGCACCCCTTCAACACAATACGTACATATATTAAATATAAATATACATATATATAAAGTTTAAACGAGAACACTTCTCTGCGAATATATTTATATGAGCAGTATTGTTAAGCCTATAGTTAGGAAATTTATCATAAAAAAAAAAAAAAAGAGTAAAAATATTTAAGAAACAAAAGTACTATTGTCTTTCACACTGCCAAAAAGTTAATCAGTTTTGGATTTGATGTCGCCCGTGGTACCATTAGTAAGATTACAGGTGGTTAATAATTTGTCGTTGGCGCAGGAATCGCATACACGGACCTCATCAAACCAACCACGTTCAGGTACGGCTTGACGGGACTGTGAGCACTTAGAACAGATACCCTGACCACACTTGCGGCAGTGATGACGTTTACAATCGCCACCCGTGAACATCCTTTCAGGACTTAATGTATTGTTATTTAAGTGGACTGAAACTAATTCTTCTGCTGTTCCGAACGGCACCTTGCAAATACTGCACTGAAGCGCCTCAACATCTGGTATCCAATAATCCGGACGTGCAGAGTCTTTTATGATTTCTATAATAATAAGCTCGCTTTTAAAATAGAAAGTTTTGAAATGCTTTTTCGAAATACCTTTTGTGCACTCCAATGCAACGGACGCGACTTTCGACACCGTGTTGTACAAAGTTTCCCCACATTTCCGAGCTGTCACATCAGCTTCGGGACTTAACTGTACAATACCTAAATTCGTATCGTCATTACTAGTGTTAGTACTGTGAGGTACTTTGTCTACAAAGAAAGCCACCAAATCAAGTAAATACCTTAACTGCATATAAAGATATATATGTATAGAGAATTATAATCAACCTGGATGCTTTAGTAATTGCTGACGGCAGTCATTGCATACTCTCACTGGTTCGTTCCATTTCCGGGATGGTACTGGCATTCTATTTTGCGTGCAAGCATCGCAAAAACCTTTCCCGCAACCACGACAATGATGTTTACGTATGCCATATTTTTCGAAGTTTTTCTTGCAGGAAGAGCAGTTCTACAATATAATATTATTTATTGTGGTTTCATATCAAATAAATTATATAATTAAAAAGAATCAGTCCTTACAATAATTTCATGATTGGGTTTCCAATATTTGGGGGCAACTTTATCAGCGCACCATTCCTTAAGTGCTCCAGCGGGTTGGGACGATATATTACTTATGGCTTCATATACGTAATTAACGCGGTCCAACATTATTTGACCTGAATGAATAGGGCCCTTGGCTATTACGTTCTCATCCTTCCAAACATGAATAGTTTGCGATCTGAAATAATTTTATTTATTAATTTCGAAAGAGATAAACGCTTACACTTTAGAAACATATGCGCACCGTACAGCTGAAGAATCTGTGGTGCTCCCCCAATACTTCCAATTCCTAGCTATCTCACCGCAATGAGGACAATCGATTATACTATACGTCCATGTTTCTTTACGTATTACAACCACCTCCCGACCATTATTGTAACAGGACTTACAAATTTCCACCTTGTTTTCAAACTGGTGCTGATGTTGACATGGCTGGGAGTTAAGATGGTTGTCGCCATCATGTCCCATAGAGCGTTGACAACGTCTATTACAGGAGTCACAATATACAGGACAGGTGAAATACTGTTCCGGAAATGGATTTATAGATTTTTCTATAATCTCGCCAGCAAATTTTTTATTAAGAGCCCGTATTGCCTTAAAAATTACGCTAGGCTGACGAGGAGAACGTACTGTTGTATTTTCTAATTCCATTCTTAATGCGGCTATAAGTTTGTTGTAGTCAGTGGTTTCAGTGATCGATGTTTGAATGCCTACGTAACGTAATGAGCTGAACGCTTTAATATCATAATTAAATCGATTAAAACAATCACGTAATTTTTCCTCAGCGCTCTCTTCGACTGCTAAAATGTACAAAAAGGAAGGGAAATTTTTAACGTCATCGTGTTTAAAAATAGAAGCATCGTTTACAATTTTCCAAAGGGTTAGTGTGTTTAGTTTCGTGGAAAATAATAACAGCAGGGCCCAAATTAGTTGCACCGGGAATCGACATCGACTGTAAAGCTTGTGAAAAATGCAAACAAAATGCTTTCGAGGCTGTCCCCAGGAATTCATACATATCACTATGAAGCCTTTCGGACCGTGTCCGATAGATAACAATATCTGATATGGCTAATATCTGCAAAACAAAGGAAAGTAGCAGCAAGATTAACTTCATCAAAATATTATGAAAAGATTTACTTTAAGTAACATACGCATACGTTTAGTATTGCGCGATGACGTCGAGAGTAGACCTTCTGTATCTAAACATAAAACTCCGAGATCTTCTTGAATGGCGGCATAGACACCTAGAGTACAAGATTTCTGTTCAGGAGAGGTTTTAAATACTTCTTCTCCTTTGAATAGGGCATGATTCATTGTGTGAGATTTTCCATCGCCCGTGTTTCCAAATATGGAAACCACCTTTATTTTAGCCGCGTCTGGACATTTTAGTTTTTTGCAAAAAAGTTCCGGTGTTGCGATATGCAAATGTTCATTTGCATCTAAAAGTAGGAACGATTGCCCAGTTGAATGATCCAAAGAATCATATTCAGAGTTATTGAAGTTTATGGATTTGAAATCTGCATCACAAACAACATCTGGCTTCAGTCCGTCTTCCTATATGTATATTATACAATTCATTAAATATATATATATATATGCATATATATTTACGTAAACATATATATAATCTCATACACATACCTCAGATAAGGAACGCATAAATGCCATCTGCAACAAAACTATGTGCAATTCACTAAAAAGAATTTACATAAACTCACGTGTCTTCCGGCACAAAAAAAATATAATACATTTGTAAACAAACGAATTTTAAAGAGAATTTCAAAATGTCGCAGCAACCACTGACTAACCTTTTTTTCAACAATGATTAAAAAAAAAAAGAAGCGTTTATCAGTTTATTGTTAACTCTTTGTTTAAGAAAATGCGAATGTTGCATGGTCTGCATGGCCTGCAAAATAAACAACAAATTTGGCCCTCGTCACCCTCGTCCCATTTTCATTTCTTTCAGTTATTTGCGTATGTAAAAATAAAAGAAATTATGGAATGAAACAATAATGAATTTTGTACTCATTAGAGAAGATATATGTGACACCAAAAAAATAATGTATACATACACTATACAGTTTATATAGCATATATAAGGTATTCTTCATCAGAGTGACCGTGGCTAAATCGAAAAAAAGGTTAGCGTATGTTTGTGTCTATTGGAAAACGTTCCCTTGAGTCTGTTCACTTGGCGTGATATTTTAATATTTGCGAAAAAAAAGCCCAAATAATTTTATAAGGAGGATCAGAACCAAAGCACATCTGTTATTTTTGCGCCTGCATTGGTTATTTTATGTGTGCTCGTATCTTTATTCGTAAATGGATTAACAGTGAGTTGTAGCTGTACAATCCTGACTCCCAAAGGAAACGATGTTAACATAATTTCAAGTTCACAAGATATTGCTTCAGATATTTTTAGTTTCTTTACTTATACGATAGTCCGAAACGCTTGTGAAAAGGAAACACTGAGTTTGAGTTTACTAAAAGATCGTGATAGGAGAATTTTATAAAAGATGAAAATGTACGCAGAGTACGCGATTTAAGCGAAACACAATGCTTACGTTACGTTTTGTACGCATCGCACAGAACGCATAACAAAATCACAGGTATTCACGTAGTTGGAAATTAATTGCATTAATTTTTATATTCAATCGTTTTTTCCAAGCGAAAGGTAAATTTTTCATACGAATTACCCCCATGCTGAAAATATAGATTGCATGCGTTACTAAAGCGGAACCATATGGTCAGCGTTTGTTTACAAAAAAAGATACTGTTTAAGACATCAGATATTGTAGTAATCATATATTTTAGTAATACATAGCAAAACGGATGTCGCAAATATGGTATGCCATAGCGCACATTAACACGAATGTTATGTTCTTAAAAGTTTTTACGATCCTTTCCCAATTTGAAACAAATAGAATTTGAGATCAGAAATTTTCATTTGTCTATTTTACAAGAGAAACGAGGCAGGAGAATATCTTTACCGATGCATAACAAAAAACAAGGTTTTTGCTGTTGAATCGTAAAAACAAAAAAAAAAAAATTTTCACAGAATTTTATAATAGAATTCCAAAAAGAAAATTTTATTTCAACTAGGGAACAGCGTTCATTATTGTATTATTATCAATCCCGGTTCAAAGAAAAAAGGTAATAACAACTAGGAAAATTATATTCGATCACGACCGAATCTTTTATACCGTTACACTAAGAAAGAACAAAAAGAGGAAAGAATTAAATTTTCATTTCATTTTCATTCATTTGCAAGAAAATACTCTACACGAAGGGTGAAACCGATTCGTATTTTGAAACCAAAAACCTGAATGCTGAGGGACTAATACAAGCTCATTTAGGCACGGCATACTACGCAACTGTCCATTAGATTGACAGTATCGGCAAGAAGCCCATATAGAGTGTCCAAAGCGAAGAAGGAGTTCCCAAATCTGTAGCAGCTTTAATGACAGGAGTAATAGTAATGGCTGTAAATACTAGGAGTATCTGTAATAGCTTTTCTTTTTTAAATAAAAATAACAAAAGCTGATTTTTTCCCGTTTATTTTCTTCCTAAAACATCAATGAGGAGAAAATTGCAGCCTTGATAAACTGTAACGAAAAAAACTCACCGCGATCGAAACAAAAGTTTGATAAAAATGAATTTTGAAATGTAAATAAAGTGTAGAAACACACTAATAAAGAAATTTTATGTGAATAGGAAAAATCAGCTTCAATTAAAATAGAATACAATGATATATTTTAGGATTATTACAAGTCATTTCTTTTCTTGCTCATCCATAAATTGATGCAGTAGAGACGAATCAATAGGAATGATTAGCTGTTCAGTTCCATCAACACTGCGTTTGGATTTCACCAACTTATGATCTAAAAATTCGGTGAGCTGAGCACGCAACACTAAATCGGAGCTAACTAAAAATGACTCACGGCAGCTCCAATATAAATCTTTAAAAGGCATGCCTAAACGAAAGAAATTAAAAAAATTGACAATAAATATTTTATATAGTTCTTAAAGTAAAACCAATGTACTTAAATAGAAAGCTATAGTCAGTTTTTAACAACTAAATGGAAACGTGCTCGAAATTGATTTACGGAATTCCGCTAATCGCGTTAAGACTCGCATTTTATAATTTCTATGTGTTGCTTAGTTTGGAATCAAAGGAATTTTTATATATCTGTTCATATTTTGATGGCTAGTGCAAAACGTATGTATATGTAAATTGCAAATAATTTCCTTGAACTTTCATGCAGCGAGAGTTCAATATGATGAGGTCTTATGATTAGGATATCGGTGGATGGACAGGCCAATTTGGCGTCTGCCTTTTTTGGCGGTGCAACTTTGGATTGTCTATTGATTAAGTATACATACGTTATGGAGCCTACAATGGACATTTTTCCGTATGATCAACCGAAAGACGAATTCATTGCCAATTATTATCTTTTGATGGTGTGTATGAAGGCTTTCATCCCTATAGTAAGTACATATATAAAATTTTGTTTACTCCTTTTGCACTAAGCATAAGATCCAAAGTCCATTTTAAGCCCGATATGTGAAAGTAATATTAATATATTTTGCTGTATTGATTTAATTTAAAAATTTTCAAGTACCTTGATAATTAGCCGTTGGCTGGTGTTTTAACTGATGCTTAACAATAATCATATAAACTTTTTTCGAATTTGCCGTTAGCGATAAGAAAACACTGCGTAACGATGACAAGGCCAATTCACCAGTGTATTGTACTAGTAATGAATTTTCGTACGCCGTTTCGTCTGTATAAGGTAACATGGTCGTGCAATCCCACCATGTAAAATTAAAATTACTAAGTTTCGTGTTATCCCATACTATGTAAGAAGAAAAAAACCCTTAAAGTTGAATAATTAAATTTAAAGTATCTAATGTCTTACATAATGATGTGTTTATGTGATCGATAGAGGCTATCAAGTGAATGTTTGCTACTTTAGCCAATCTCGATAAAATAGTTTGACTTCTACTATTTCTTAGCATCGGACCATCCAAATTATGTATTATGAGATACAAATGCGTTTCAGGTATTAAAGCAAATTCCTCTTCTATCATGTCTACTGTTTCATGAGGATTAGTTGGACTGATGCCTAGATCTAAGATATTATTTGCAATGCCCTCTAAGATATCTTTCAAAGTTAGACTAGGAAAGAAGCCGTTTATTACCACAACTGGTTGCTCAGCTAAGATTTCTCTATGAAACGATAAGAGCAATTGGCGTTTTGAGCCTAAACCATATACTAACAAATTAAAGCCTTCGTGCAGTAAGTAAAGCCATTTTGTGAAATTGGATTTATACTCTGCGATCATATCGTTTATCGATTGTTCATGCTCGGCAGAAAGCTTCATATCAGATAGCAAAGCAAATAAACGATCGGTAGATAAGCGAGGATTTTTCAAACGATCTAAGGTATGATCGGAGGTATGAATTTTACTGCTGGAGCGTTTTTGAAAGTACTCATCACTTTCGGGTATGTAATCGGAAGGTGTTTTACCCTTAGCGAAAGCGGAACGTGACCGTAAAGCTGACGGTGTTTTCGGTAGCACTGGTATGATAATAGGGAAGCCTTTTTTGTTTTTAGAGGGAGTTTTGGGGACATCATCTGCTGTAGAGGACTCTTCTTCATCACTACTGGATTCAGTGTCGGAAAGCTCAAATTCGCTATCATCTACGGAAAAATCGCTGTCCGCACTATCGTCCAAAACCTTACTTATATCTGCGCATTTCGATTTGAAAAAAAAAAAAAAAATTAGTAACTTGCAACAAAAAATGAAAACTAAGAACTTACGTCTTTTAACTCTACTTCTAATATGTGAAGGAGTTTTCGGCACCAAAAAAGATTTACGAGTTGCTTTTGATGTTGATGCAGGCGTTTCAGGTATGCTGGCTGAATATTTTCCTCTCGACTTAGGAGTACTAAGTCCTTTTTGGGCACTTGGTGTGCTTAAGGCAGCCAACGCCATGCTATTTTTCTTTTTCGGTGTGTTGAAGCCGAATAACACTTTTCCACTAACTCTCACTTCTTCCTCTAGCAATTCCAAATCGTCCAAACGGGGGTTTGTAGGAAGTAGAACGTCCATTGCCTCATCAACACTCTCCAATGCATCCTTCTTCTCGTTAATTTTATCATCGCAGTCATGTAAAGATCTTCTAGAATCTGCCTTACTGCCTGAAAGCCTTAACGTTGACAGTGAAACTGCTGCTTCTTCATCGGAATCCAATCCAGTAACGTTCACTATACTAAAATCCGTATCACTTTGGGAATAAGTAATTGTTCGGGGTTTGCTTTTATTTTTTAATTTAGACGACATGTTACTTTGCCTTTCGTTTTTACCACTTTGTCTCGTAGTGCGTCCTCTTCCTGATATAAAACTCATTATGCAAACCAAACTAACTAATTCACATAGAAATATATCTTCAGTTTTTGTTAAATGAAATATTCTTCAAAGAAATTTACTCGTTGCGCTTCCATCTACGTTTTTTGCGCCAAACACGGCAATGACAGGAATGTATTCACTTTAACAACAACTGATGGTCTTCTTCTTCTTTGTAATAGAATTAGAGCAAGCATTTTTTCTCCTTTTTGAATCAAATGCTCAAAGATGTATGTATGCTCAAGCAATCAATTTGCTACAGAATCGAAGGGTCTTTAAAATAGAAAAATATATTCAAATAAAATATATTCCATTAGCACCCTTCGCTTCAAAATGTCCGGAACTATACTTCATGTTAAAAAAATTGGAAAAGTCTTTGGTTTATTAAAGGAACATAAGCTCTAAATATTTCTACTATTTTAGTTACCAAGCAAGGTAGATACACCCAGGTTTTATATTGACTTCTAAAAAGAAAGAAAAAAGGGGAACATTTAGAGTGGAATAACACATTTTTTTGTATGTACAGACAATATAGGCAACCATATCGAGAATTGTTTTTCATTAAAAAAGACTTTAATGATCCGTACATTTCTCCCAGAGTATGCTTTTTTGCACGATTATTATATTGTAAGGATCTCGACTAGCAACTCAATGGTGGTGGGTTCATATCTCAAGTGTGGTAGACTTTTTAATAAAGCCGAAAGCCTTAGATGCTTGTGCTTTAAGTGTCTTTAATCTTAGAATTTATTCTCTGGCTAAATTTGTAATAATAATAGTAATATTTGAAGGAATGTGTTAAGCAAAGTGCGCAAGCTAATACAAGGGATGATCTTTGTTTTGTAGCAATACTTTTCATACGAATGTTCCTTACTAGCACTGACATCAAACATTTTTCATCGCCCGATAACCATTGCGATGAGTTTAAGCATTTGAATAATAGAAGAAAACGTAACGCTTTTCTTTTTGCTGCAGGCGTGTCATTCATATTTGAAGGCGATTCATTATGATGATTCGGGTGGTGCATTTCGTTCATAGTCATTTAATGCTCTGCCAAATCGTAAGTGCAAGTTTTGAGATATTGTCACCGAAATCGACCTGTATATTTCTCTGTAAGAGGTTGATCGAAGAAGTGTAAAAAAAAAAAATAAAATCACACGAATGCCAATTGCAACTGGCCAAACCCGTAAAGAGTACATTTTCAATATTCCAGGTAACTTTTAAAGAAGAAAGTGATCAAGCTTGCGGAAAAAAACTATCAGGTACAGTACTCATCATCGGCAATAAGCCGCATCCATTCTTTAAGCGTGATGGCAAGATGCGAAGATCAACCTCAAGCAGGAATTATGGGCAACTATCGTTCAGGTGGCAATATTGCAAGGTAATCAAATTATAGTAACTATGCGGGATGAAGCAATAAAATTCTATATAGTCAAGTATATAAATAGTCGGCTGCTTTTATCAACAAGGCTTCGTGACACGGTGACCTGCAAGGAAAGAGCAAAAATGGAAAAAATGGACGATGGTTCGTGGAGAATAGGACTTTAATTTTCTCATTAGATTTTGTGTGTGCGTTCCTTTCTTCGTGGCGTTTTAATGTCACTGATGTTACAGTCTGTATCTATATAATCAGATTTTATATCAATACATTATTCGCTTTGCTTTTCTATAAATAAAAACATATAAGCTGCATTTCTTATTAGCTTAATCCAGGCAATCTTAATAAACCAAAAAGAAACTTGCTTTTAACATGACAACAAACAAACAACAAAAGCAGAAAGCACACTGACAAAGTGATACACTACACGTGCGCCCTCCGAAATGCAATACGTGAATCTTAAGAAATCCTTATACTTGTTAAAAGATGGCCGCCTCTCTTGTTGTTTCAACGACAGCTAGCAAATAACAGTGAATGGCTAAAATAATTGGATATAAATAATTTATTGGATGACATTATGATCAATTGAATTTAAAAGCAACTTATGCGCAAGTGGAATAACACAAACTCAAAAATGTTTGGTTTCATTGAATATATGGCAAAGGAGAACACATGTCTCTCTGTTGCAAACATTTGGAATAAACATATTACACTTTTCGACACTTTTTTTCTTTGCCTTCAATGACATTTTACCTTATATTTACAATTAATGAATTTCTAGGCAATAACTATATGGTATTACTATGGTACTATATGATATTACACGAAATTTAGCATTTTTATATATATAGATGTATACTTATGGACGAAAATCTGACGCAAGAGAAATTTGTACGTAGCCTTAGTAAGTTTTGCATATAATCTATGGTCAAACTTGCCAGAGTTGTCTTGCCTCGTTATTTAGGTATTAGTTATAAATATCTTTAGTAAGAGTGCAGCAGTAAATACTTTATAGGCGAGAAGAAAAAAGACGAAATAAATATTAAACTATGTGCGTCAACGAGTTTTGATAACAATTATTTAAAAGTTCACAAACTTAAATATCGTAAACCTATTTAGTTAGAGTCGCAATGGTGTGCGTGTGCTATTGACTAAACCGTAAAAACAAAAAATTTCTTCGATTGGAATTTTTTAATTCTCATTTTAATTTAGAAGTTGGAGAATAGTTTCTATTTACTTTGTTTAACTTTTTTTCGGGTTTTAACTGATTAAATATGTATGCACCAATTTAAATGCTTCCAATTTTATTCCTTCAAGTTTCTAATTTTTGTTGTTTTGCATTTGTTCTTTTTAGCAGACTATTTGACATTTCATTAAAAATATTGCAACAGCAATGTTGCCTGTTATTTTAATAAATGTTAAGAATTACATTTATAGTTATGTTAGATTTCTACTGTCATGCTCTTCATTTTAATTAAGGCATAGTCGGTCAGTAGAAAATATATCGGTCACATCTCACATCGCATCCTCTCCCTTATACAACAATAAGGAAAAATTATACATAATTTTGTTTATATATAAACATATATGTACATACAGTAAAATTATAACTATATCCAAATTTTTTAATGATTTGTTCCTTCGACGTTATTAACAAAAGATACGTTTCTGTTCGCCTACGCGACAGAGAAAATTGAAGGGAAACATTGTAAATAAATTTATTTTAATAAAAAATTAAGAGTGCAAGGAACTCTTTGAAGAAGCATCGACAAATTTTTTTAAATATCTAAAGGCACAAAGAAAACAGCCAAACGTATGCCAGGCTTTCACTTCAATGAGATGGGTGAAATGGTGATGGTGAATGTTGACGACATCGGCGTTGTTGATGTGTATGATTTAGCATCCGACATAGGCAAAGAATATGAACGAATCATAGACCGATTTGGTACCGAAGCTGTGACAGGATTAATGCCGAGAATAATTAACACTTTAGAATTATTGGAAGCTTTGGCTACTAAAAATGAAAGAGAAAATGTTACAATGCAAGAGTTAAGAGATAAAATTACCCAACTTGAAAGCGAAAAATTGGAAAAGGCCGAATTTCGGAGACGTTTTGAAAAGGAATTGGAAATGATTGAAGAACAATGGCGTACGGAAACTAATGACTTGGCTGATTTGGTTTCGTCACTGCAGGAAGAGAACAAGCGACTTGTCAAGCAAACTGAAGATTTACAATCTGCGTCTGCTCAATCTTCTGGCTTGGGTGCCAGTCTCACGGAAAGTATTATTAGTATAACGAACAATGAATTACATGCCGCTCTGAGCGACACTCAAGTACTGCAAAGATTGAAAGAACAAATATATCGACAACGTGACGATCTTAAAGAGAAGGAGAGAGAATTGCAGGAAAAATATCAGGAAAATGAGCATGTAAGTTTAATATTTGCATGCAAATCCGGAATATGGGATATCTGAACGCTAGTTTTTTTGCAGATGACTATACAATTGGAACGCTTGAAATCTTCTGGAAGAGATACTCGTCGCCGCTGTACAATGCTTCAAACTCAAGTTAAAACTTTGTGCGAAGAACGGGCGGATTTTCTAGCTCAACTTCAGGATCAATACAGGGAAATTAATAATTTACGGAAACGTCTTGGCTTGGCTGAAAAAGAAAAGGAAGATCTGGTTATGTCACAAGATGATACTTCTAATGATCCGAACCGACCACGTTACACCACTCGTGAGCTGAAAGAGCTAATAAATGAACGTGACGAACTGTTAACTATTATACAGAATTTGAATGAAGAATTGCAGACCTTGAAACCCAGTAAGATTTCCTCGAAATTTCCTAATTCTGACGATGATTGCGATATAAAAGAAGATGGTGATGACGAACTAAAACATACAAGCGATCTCATAGATTCGTAAGTTATTAGAATGTATAACGCAAGGAACTATGTTAAAATTTTGTCGCCATTTATAGCCATTTTGAACATGACGCACCCGTTCAAGGTCCTCTACCCTATGAGCCCGATGATGCACCATGGAAGAAATCAAGCGAATCGGGTATTCGAAAATTGTAAGCTATGTCTTGACGATAATTTCTTATATAATGTATGTGTATGCTTTTATAAAACTCTTTTCTTTTTTTGTAATTAGTTTCCGAAAACTTTTCTCCGACACTAACAGTAACAGCAATGGTTCTCAAACATTTCAAAAGCGTTCTTTGGCTACACTTTCAAAAATGGCTCTTTCAGCTTCCCCAGCTTCAACTGGTGATGCAAAGTAAGTGCCATAATTCCATACGGCGTATAATTAAAAAAATCAATTGCATCAGTTAAATATAGGAAAAACCCTTGTTAACGATAAACTATCGTCTATACCCATTACCAGCAAGAAGGGGACTTGACAATTTTGTATTTTAATTCCCACATCGCTCAGAAATCGATTTTCACATTAGAGATTTTATAAAGTATATATATATATATATAGGTATTCGACAAGCCTGAGAAGCCGATTTATTATTTATGTCCACTTGTTGTCTGCGGTTGCAACTCTTAGTGACAAGAATTGCGATGGAAAGATAAAACTTTGCATGTGTATGCGTATTCATTCCAAACAATAACATTTAAAAGAGGCCAACACCTTCTGCAATAATTAACTGAATGTCATGTAGATAAAAAACAAGAAGGAAAAAAACGTTAAGGTGGTGGGTATTTAAAATTCGCGTAAAGCGAATAAACTTTTTAAATTATTTTGTATCGAGTAATTTTTTTTTTAATATACAAACATATTCAAACCGGGATGATATATTATGCAAAAGTTGGTATTCGGAAGTCAAATTTGATTCAATTATCAGATTTATTAGAATAAATTAAATTACAATTTTCATTGAATATTTACAATTATAAAAATTTATATGAAATATTTAGGTGTTACAAGTTGCAAGATAGTTGTATTTGTGCATTCCATAACTGAAGAATTATAATGTTTCAAAACAAATGAACTTAAAATGTAGAATAGTTAATAAAGATTAGTTAATAATACGTTCAACTGTGAACATTTACTTATCTTAAGGGTTTTACTTCAATTTTTTTTATTTTTATATCTTCTAAATATGTCGCACCTTTATTTGATCTTTTTTGCGAACAATACGTGTGTAACACCTTTAATTGAGCAAAAAATTTAAAAATTATATTTTCAAGCAATTTATATAATTACACGCATTCGATATGTTAAGTTGAAGTGAAATACATAAACTGTTACAAATAATCGTAGCTCTGTGCACATACTTGAGCGTGTATTTTTTATTATTCGTGATTGACTTGCGGATTAATGGAAAAGAAAAAGTATACAATTTACACAAACAAATTAATTGCGTTATCATTTTTATTTTATTTATAATTTCACTCCAACAAATTCGTCGCATCGACTACGTTCAGCTTCCTCATGACAAAGCTTATGACATTTCTCAAAATGAATGATAAATGATGATTATGATATTTCTCCGCAAAGTATGCTTTTCACTTTGCGTTGGCTATTGAACTCTTCAAATTTCATGTCTGGATAGAGATGTGTCGACACATTGTTGCCACCAGTACAGGATCTTGGACATACGCTCGCGTTTTATTGTGTGTTGGATTGTTGTATTATGTTTTTGTTTTCTTATTCAAATTTTATTAAAATAACATTTTTTTTCGAAATCTGTACGAAATTCTATCGAATCTACGTTTTTCTTTGTTTATTGCTCGATAATAGAGCAATAGAGTATTTTTTCTTTTTTTATCTATTCTCTCGACATGTTCTCTTCTAACCCTTTGCACACGAATCATTTTTTGGTATGGCATTCATCTACCCGACAGTAGTTTTAATAAAAAACTGTAACACATCAAACATAAGAATTTTAAACAACATGTTTCATGTTTACATGTTTCATTTTTATTTACATACTACAAAGATATTATGTTAATATTAAATTTTATAATTTCCCTCAGTGTGATGAAAAATGAGCATATACAATTCTCATTCATTTTGCATGTATTGTACGCCTTTAGAAAATGAGCGTATACAATTCTCATTCATTTTGCATGTATTGTACGCCTTGAGGAAGCGCTCTCGAAGGTGCTTCCTAGCTTTTTCAGGACACTTCCTTCTACCGTCCTCCGCGTTTATTTAGAATGTTATCAACCAATCTAAACACCATCTTGAACTCATCTTCGCTGCTACAAATTTCGATTCCATTTTTATGACTTTAAGTCATAAAAAAGTAATTTTAATTACCAATGCTTTCGCTTAACAGAATATCAAAAAAACGTTTGTTTCGATTTTGCTTATCACTGTTTTCGCTTAACAGACTATCAAAAATTTTGCTATGATTTTGCCAGAAACTCTGTTCAGACTGAATGATCTAAGTGTCCACCAACCGATATATACCAGACTAATCTCATACCAAGTAAAAAAATTTACAATACGGGCACAATTTAAAGTACAACATTATATAAAATAGTGCAAAAGATTAAGATATTTAATGCATATTTTATTTTTTCGTTGTTCAAATTTAGAAAAGATCTTAAGAACTTGTGTTTTTAAAAACATAAAGTTCGTTTAAGTCCTTCCTCCATACGTGCCAACGTGCTATTTCTCTTACAACTGTCTATAATACAGCACCTGACTGTGTTTTACATATACTAACATGGGAGTATAAGTGGATGTAGAGAACAAGTGCCTCTCATTTCTACCATATTGTTCGTATAAATTTGAGTAATCTTTGCTATAGCAACCCTTAAAAAAAAAAGAAATGAAGAAAGAAAAACGAAATAAAAAGTAGGGAATAAACTTAGGTGGCTTCAGAGTCGGATAGCTTTGATAAGACTAAGTTTATTAAGTCGCCCTACGACGTGTTTTATAGCTGACTATCCGTAGACCACCAGTATGGAAAATATTATGAATTCGGTGAGAAGAAATGAGAGAAAAATTATGAATATATAAGAAATCGCTACAGTTTACATTATCATCTTGACTAAGGTGAGACGGTTTGCCCTCTCGCTCCACAAATTTCGATGTTAACGATGCGTCGCTGCTTAGTCGACCAATCACTGACAAAGTTGATGAAATTCTTTAATGAATTTCGATTTATGCTATACCTGTGGAACTGAATATTGATCATAAACCAGTTTTAAACCCTTCAGACAAGGCTGAGTACAAAAAGAAGCTCGATAAGTGAAGCTGCAAAAACAGTGGCAAACGTCGAATTGACGCCATATGAATTAATGCTTTGATTGGAAACAAACCATGCATCTTTATTCGCTTTAATCTTCCCAGACGATTAATTCAACTCATTCAAGAACAACAAGTTGTTGTATCAGGAAGCAATGGAATTAAAAGGCGTAGTAAAGCTAAAGTCAAAAAGGATGGGAATCACTTTATATTTATACTAGTTAGCCTATCTGGCTGCACTGAAAATGTCATCTTTGAATATGCAAATGGTATTGGAGTTAATCTCTGCCTGCAAAAATTCCACTTGAACGATATGCGACTTGAGCAAAAGCGTGCAGCGTGCTGTACATCTCATGACAGACAGCATCAATTTATTACGGGAACAGTTCAACGACCATGTAGGTTCCAAAAAATGCCTATACGAGCTTATCGCAAAATTATGCAGCATAACCCTGTTGGTGCTTTGACTTTAGGGTTACGTTGGAGCGTTGACTCACTCCAATAAATCTCGAACCTTCAATAATTTTACTCACCAAGATTTTCGTATTACCGGCAAAAATTGGTTTTCTAAAGTTCAATTTTTCAAGATATCCGGAGACGGTCATTTACATGGAACCATTTTTAAATGAAAATGACATGATCCTATATTATCCAAAAAAAAAAAATAATTTTGGTATCTTTTATCGTTTAGTTTTTATTACACAATACACAAGTAAGAAAGTTACATTCGACTTGGGCCGAATCCTGTGTACGTAGCGCCACTTATTTAACAAGCCGCGTTAGGATAAAATTCTTCACCAGTTTCAAATTCGGAATGTACCTAAGCATGTCCGTCTGCCTAACTGTTTAGAAACTAAGACCTCCCCCCGTTCACCAAAAAGATGTCGCCTACATCTTTGCAAAAGAATTTTAAAATGATCCAAACTGGTCAGAAGACACGCCTACAACGCCCACAGGCGTAAACAACGAAGACCATGAACACCTTTGCTTTACACGATTTTGTTTGCTACTATTTGTATTCTGAAAATAGAGAAATTCAATCGCGCCCGCTCAATATTATAGAGTTTAACAACTTAATTCCTTTCTTTTCGTTTGGTCTTCCTTAGGATAAGGGTAATTAGCGGACTGAAAGGTTCGATCACGACCGAATATAATTTTACTACTTGCTTACAGTTTTGATCACTATCATACTTTATCGACAATTGTTAAGTCTTTACTCGTTACCGATGGTACATAATCCACCGCTATCGAGTTTACTCGATATCATAAAGCATAAAATGGTCCTTGAATCGATTTGAGCATGTCGTCTGTCCGTCTGTCTGTGGTAATCATTCTTCTAGTCATAAAATTGAAATTTTCTGCTTCAAATTTCGCAAATGTATTGGAAGTTCTCGCACGCAATAGTTGCATTGGTATTGAAAGGACACGTCCACAGTACAACCTAACCTTCGTTTTTGAAAACCGTGGTGTTCTCAGTTTAAGTTGGACTATGCGTGTATTCTTTGATTTAATCCACTCACTTTGTTTTGAGAAATTTTAAGCCGATATGTTAATTTTTACGTCCGGCAGAACATTGGCCGATTTTATATGAGTACACCTAATGCACTGTAATGTAGTTTATGTAGGGATATGAGCCAAAGGTTGTAGGGTATCAACTGCTCCCTTACTAAACCCTCTTCGCTTTTTATTGTATACAAAAGCCAAATTTTTTCAGTGCACGTTGCCTCTGCTTGCATTCCCGACTATTTTTAACACACGCAAGTGCCCTTGCAGCATTTGTAAACAATTATTTTATTACACATATGGTGTACGATTGTGCGAGTACATGCCAATAATTCCTTTGCTATTCGCATATATTGCCTTTTACCTGTATATAGTTATATTACTTTGTTTACCTACACCAACAATTGTCCTGCGTTCATGGAAGACGTATTCACTTTGTATAGAAGTATTCATGCCACAATTTATATAGATAGAGACATAAATTGTTTTACGCTAAATGTATGAGTATTCAACATATATACATAATATATCACTCGATAAGTGTCCGGTCTGACACACACGTATGGCAACACTGTTTGTAGGCCCATATGATTTTTGGAAGGTACCGATCTTCAAATGATACGTATCAATATTATGTGACATTCTGAAAAATAGTTTTCAGGTTTCAGTGCAAAACTAATAATTTCGTTAGTGTATTAAACGTTGCCTTTCGATGACAAAAAGTATCGGCTTGGTGATAAAAGGACGGTTCTTGTTTGATGAAAAAATAAATTTGACGATGATTTTCTTATTTTAAACAATGTCGCATGGACACGGATGATATTGAATGCTCTGGTCGCCCGAACTCGGCAATTGTTTCAGAAAACATAAAGAAAGTGCGCCAAAGCCGTTTTAAAGAAGAATATTAGAAAGCAAGCCGTCTAAAATCACAACGTATTGGAGCCGTTTGAGGATTTTTGCTTGCAATGTATGACAATAAATGAAATATAGAATTATCACTACACTCCATAGTCTAATCGAGACAGCAAGTAGCGAAAGGCTGATCAAAAAGTAGAGTACTAAAGTTATGGCGTCCGTGTTTTGAGATGCGCATGATATAATATTCATCGACTATTTTGAAAAGAGAGCGGGGATCAATAGTGAATATTGCGTAGCGTTACAAGCGCCTTTGAATGACGAAATTGCAAAGAAGGTGAGTTAAACAAGAGACTTACTGATTGATACGATATGTATACATATCCATTGATTTAATTTAGTTAGCGTTACGGTAGCAGTTTACCCTTGCTACTAGTCAAAACAGGTAAACAAAGGCAATAGATTGTACGCAAATAACTGTAAATTGTGCTCTTCAAAATTGTGTAGACTGTCTTGTCTTCCAAAAATATTAAATCACATTACTTTCGAGACATTCCATTACAAAACATGTTTTGCCAAATTGGAATTGTGAACTAATTCCACGTAACAAGTACAGTCAGAAGTACACAAATACACATCAGACTATATATACATATAAGAATCGGTGTATATTGCTGGCGTCATGAATATTTCCCAAATTGATTCACTTGACAACAA